TAGTCTACCTCTCAGACGGCTAGGCCGATCACACTCAAAGCCAGTGCGCCGCCTACATAGGACTTGCTAGCTGGTAATCCTCACAATGCGCAAGTCGCCGGTTGCGAAGAACCTACCTAATTGTATGGTCCTCAATAAGCCGCTCCGCGCCGATACTTGGCGTCCCCTTCGCCGAGCCGGGGATGGATCTTTGAACCCCCGTCTGACTCGGCTCCTGGGCCACGTAGCGACACCGGTACGAACCAAGAAGCGTTCGAACAGCCAAACCATCATCAAGAAAGTTATACAGTAAGTTTTTAGTTCAGGTCAAAGGTCAGGTCAGTAGAGGTCATCAAAGGTCAATTTTGCCCACAATAACACTTTTGGCAATCGAGGCATAACCCTGGGACGAATAGAACTACAGCACCGCGGAAAAACGCAGTCGATAGCCTTTTTAAAACTCTTTCTGAATGGTTTAGAAGCCAATGGTTTAGCCGACAGAAAAAGCTTAAATGTAAGTTTGCCAAAAACGAAGGAGCTCCGCCCGCCGTTCTTTTGTGATACCTGAGAACAAACTGCATAGGGGTGTCTGAACTGTCCCGCCCGGCTCAGTATAAAGCATTTTATATAGTTGACGCCTTTCTCAAATGAGTTTACGTTGCGCTTCTTGCATGAAATATCGTATACTATTTATTCTGCAGCCTGCACATGATTGTTGAACGCCGTGGACTGAAGGAGAACCTCGGGCTTAGAACAAAATAGAAGCATCACTTCTTTGTGCGTGTTCCTATCAAACTAACATGGATCACTTATGTAATGCATCCGACTTTCAAATAATACGGTTCTTTTGAACTATCAATAGACGAAAGTATTAAAAGTGATTTAGTTATATAAGGACCTCCGCGCTATTGAGAATCTTCACCCATATTGATGCCTATTTTCAACAATATAAAGAGTAGAATGCGAAGCGCTATCGCTGAGGCTACATCGCCAGGAACTCTTCGACAGCCGTGTAGGGACATATTTTAAAAAGAAGGATACGAGTAGCCAACAAAGGTACTTCGTAGTGTGTTGTCAATATGGCGCCCATTTATTTTCATTCGACCCTTAGTCACTGTTGCCGATCTTCACAATGGGCTCGCCTTATATCTCTGTCATTCATGTGTGTGTAAACTGTAAAATAAAATGTCCGTATAAAATGAGAATCTTCCAATCTCCTCGCCAGTTTCTTCATGTGCTTCTGGTGTTCTAGGTTCTGCATGCCTTGCAATGTGTTCTTGGAAATAAAAACACCCATCTTTATAACTTATAAATGAACAGACTCCATTTATAATAAGGTGGTGAAAGGTTTTCTGATGCTCCATTTCTGTTGAGCAGCCAAGTTACGTACAAGCTTTTCAAACTTCTCGTATATCAGAAGCCTTGAATCATCAAGTAAATGGCCAACCACTTCAACCGTGCGATGCGCATGTCTTAGACCACTGATCGTACTTATACCGTGGCTGAAAAGCTAGGCCATGTTAGCACACACTTGCTATTGCTCTGTCGGGCCAATTAAACCCTGATTCGGCCGGCCACGCTCTGCGCTGCGGTTGTGCTGGGAATCCCACTCGCGGCAAACAGTCAGCCGGCTCCAATTACCGGCGTGTGGTACAGCGGCAGCGAGCGGTGGCGTGCAACGTCGCGTCCGCCCCGCCCCGCCGCCCCGCCATCAAAGATGCAGCAGAGGGTGGCGTGTGCGGCGCCGGCGCCGACAGGCAGCCGCTACTGACAGACTGGCCGACAGCGGAGGACGGATTGTAGCGGGGTACAGATTGGCCGACAGCGGAGGACGGATTGTGGCGGGGTACAGATTGGCCGACAGCGGAGGACGGATTGTAGCGGGGTACAGACTGGCCGACAGCGGAGGACGGATTGTGGCGGGTAACAGACTGGCCGACAGCGGAGGACGGATTGTGGCGGGGTACAGACTGGCCGACAGCGGAGGACGGACTGTAGCGGGGTACAGACTGGCCGACAGCGGAGGACGGATTGTGGCGGGTAACAGACTGGCTGACAGCGGAGGACTGGTTACAGCGGGGTAACAGACTGGTCGACAGCGGGCGGTAAAGGACAGACCGCAGGGGTGACAGGCAGCGGGTGCCAGGGGAGTTCACTTGCAGGAACTCTGCAAACAAATGATATCTTAATTTATTTTTTAAATGAAGGACCAATAGGCGCTGAAGATTACGAGACTGCTGAACTATAAGAAGTACCGTTCAATAGCTGCACAATACCAGCAAACACAGTGGACATTGTGTTGTGGCCAACTATTGGGACAACTATTTGAGCAACTTGAAGACCATTCAATGACTGCCAGACTAGGCTGCTATTTGCGCATTGTAAGAACTGTGAGCAGTGGCTAAAGCCCCCTTAAAGTCAGGGAAATCCGAGATACAAGCAGAAGAAATGGTAGAAGTGTGTGCCTAAAAAGGAGGTAAGAATGCACATGTTACGGGTGACTTCAGTGAAGTGTCAGTTTTTCTCATTCCCGCCGATTATATTGCTCATATACATTCAACTGCGTCTGTTTGTATTGCTGTGCGATCGACTCACAACAACTGGTGTGGTTCACTCTCACTCATACACTCCGGTACCACTCCTCGTGGAAAAACAGCCGCACCGCGACCGTCTCATCACGGCACGCTGCAGGGGAGGGGCTGGGACGGTTCCGGTGATCCCCGTGACCAGAGGGTCTCCGGCCTGACCGACCTTACAGGGACGCCAGTGGAGGTCGGGGAGGCCCCCCGGTCCCGCACACTCCCCCCCCCCCCCCACATACACACACGGTTCTGAGCCCCAGCGAAGACAGCCAGCTATCAACTGTCTGTCAACGTGACGGACAGCTGCCACATGACTGACAGCGGACTGTCGTCAGCCGGGGTCACGGAGTAACACGACAGGCTCATATCGTCGTAAGTACATACACTTGGGCCGAAAGGTCAGGACGTGGTGGGAGAGCTTGGATAATGCATGTTGTACATAGTTGTTAGGCCTGATGAGCTTTTGGATATAGCCGCGGTAATGGGAACGTTACGGCAGAGGTTCGATGGAACCAGGGGATTTGAAGCATCGCAGTGCCTGCCACGAAGTGATATCAGCGTAAAAAGGAAACACAAACTGTTCAGAGCATCATATCGCAAAAACATGCAACTTTTCATCGCATTTCGTCCCTGGATGACGTCTCATTCCCGCAGACTGGATTCAATCAGAGGTCTGCGGCAGAGATCGGACAGCACCCGCATCGGTACGGGGTGGATCAGCTCTACATAGTTATTACCACTCCGGCCTGACCACTCCACTCTGGTGTGAGATATTCACGGGAAGGGCGGTCCCTGCGGTGTAGTTGTAATTCACTCTGCACACCCGCGGCACACTGCGGCTCGCCGGGCGCCGGCTCGGTGGGTCGCCGCAGTCGCCGGCCACAGCCGCGTCCATTCCCAGCGGTGCAAACTGTCCGATAAAGTGTCCGGCTCCCCGGGGGTGTCCGCAGACAGCGGCGGTGCCACGACGTCTCATTAGGGCTCAGGTGGGTTGGGCCACGCTATGGGCGCCCTGGGAGTCGCCCCGGACGATCATTCACCGCTGGCCGGCGGCGGTCGAGCTCAGGCAGTTCGTGAGTCGGTGTGAGACATTCACGGGAAGGGCGGTCCCCGCGGTGTAGTTGTAATGGTCTGCAAGCTGCCAGTGTGGTTGCTGGGCCGGCCGAGGTCGAGTCGTTCTCAGAGGCAGACGGCTGGACGTCGGAATGGTCTGGAGTCCATCGGCGGTGACAGTGTCAGGCGGCGACAGACAGCGGGGCGCCGGTCGCGCCGGTCGCGCTCCTCGGTTGCCGGTGGTCGCCGGTCGGTGGCCGCCCCTCCCCGGCGGCGGTCGACGCTGCTCTGATGACGTACGGTCGATAACCGGCCGCCGGCGGGTAACACTGCCCCTCTCCCCTCCCCCTGGACACCGCCCGGTCCGGCCACACCGACCGTCACACGGCGACGGGGACGCACCACGGCACGGTCCTGGCGGCGGCGGACACTCGGGGCTCCCTGCAGGCCCTGCTCGGCACCGGGAGGCAGTGGGGTCTACCGGGGCCCGGCGTGGGCCCGGTGAGGGTCTATGTGGGCCCGGCGCGGGCCCGCGCGGCGGCTCACAACAGGGAGCTGACGCCGGTGCAGCAGCACGAGCTGGCCACCTTGGTATCTCTCCTCCAGCGCGGTTTGCCAGGGAGCAGGCCGTGGCCCTCCATGGCCCACATGTTGACGCGAGCTGCAACACACGGAGAAGGAGGCGTCAACAGCGAGCGATGGAGCGGCGCCGCCGACTCCGGAAAATCGAGTCAGTGTCACCGGCGCCGACGTGGCCGCCGAACGGTGTGACACATTGGGGGTCTTGTGGGAAAGCTCGGAGCGGGCTCATATGGTGCAGCACCGGGCCCTGAAATATTGATGCAGCGTGACATGTCAGGGCAGCAGGTCTGTGGACATCAGAGAAGCCGTCGGAAATCCTGCTATTTTCACTGGGATCAATCAAGAAGTGTTGAACTATCGTCAATTCTTTTTTCTATTTTTGGAGCATCGTGTTATGTTCGAGGTTCAGACTGAGCCGAGTGAGCAGATTGAGAGCTAGGAAAACCACGATAGTTCAGTGACAGGAATAACCTCGTTCCAGTTTTTCAACTTCCTGCGCGCACCTGTTCTGTTGCGCAATCGCTTCAGGAGTAGAGCATTCAGCTGCATGACAAAGTCTGCGCACTGCAGTGGTGGTTCTAATCCGGCTTATGAAGCTCGGGCCGGCTCTCCACCCCGCTCTCGAGAGGACCCTCCCGCGCGGTAAATCCCCGTGGAGCCAGCGATAAGCCGCTCACATTTTAGGCCGGCAGACATTATGGAATGGCGAGCTGCTGCCAGACTCGGTAAACAGCCTCTGAGCGGTGCACGACTGCGAATGAATCGCAAAGTGCGTGCGAGGGAGGCACCACAGCGTGTCTGCCTGTGAATAGATTTCGTATTGTGCTGCTCCGAAAGTCGATACAGCAGTGGAAAAGCAGTCTTGCTAAAATTGTTCGGCAGCGCCCAGACTTCAAAATGGTTTATGTTGGTATTTCAGGTCGTTTTTTTGCGTTTGTCCAACAACCTGAATTTGGCATCTAACTATGTATGTAGAATCTGCATTTCTATGCAACACCTGCCTACTCAATCCTTTTATTAATTCAAAGGCAGCGAGAGCCATATTTGCTAGCTTTTTACATTGCATTCCTATCTTGGCCAATCTTGGAATTCGATAACTTATCTTTTTATTAGATAGGAAACTGTGGCTCATTGCTTCAATACCAATACTAATATCAGGAGAGAGAGAGAGAGAGAGAGAGAGAGAGAGAGAGAGAGAGAGGGAGAGAGAGAGAGACAGAGAGAGAGACAGAGAGACAGAGAGAGACAGAGAGAGAGAGAGAGAGAGAGAGAGAGAGAGAGAGAGAGAGAGAGAGAGAGAGAGAGAGAGAGGGAGAGACAGACAGAAATTGAGAGAGTGCCGCCCATAATGTGAAGTTGCGATGAGCGCGGAGCTCACGTTGCTGTATTAGTTTTCTCTGCGGCTCGCCTGGCGCGCGATGAGCACCTCTGATGTGCTCCGTCTATGGGTCGCCACCTGAAGTTTGGTCTCGGAGGCGGCCGAATCAATCGGCGGCCGCCGGGCACGGGTCCTCGGGGTCCAATCTCCGTGCCGAGGCGGCCGCGGCCTCCCCCGGCCGGGGAGGGGCGGCCCGACCGCCGCAGGTGCCGGCCGGCCGCTGCAGAGCCGAGACGGCCCTCTCGAGCCGAATCGATCGCCGCATTGAGCTGGCGCCGTAAATGCCACGGTGAGATTAGCCCCGTCCGACGCGCACGGCAAACATCACCCGTCGGGCCGCGCAGGTCGCGTCCGGAGGGGCCGGGTCTGGTCACCTGAGGTCAGCCGCCGCTGGGATGGAGAGCCACGGCTGATACGTAAGGTAAAAAGCGCATAAAATTGATAAATTGCTACCAAAGATTGGGTCACCAGTTTCATCGGCGGTTTCAGAGGGATGTCATTTTCATGATATTGACCGTTAAAGTGCATTCTAAACCGCTCTCTGTGACTGATCTAGACAAATATTGGAGAGCTTTTCGTTACTAACCACGCAATATGCGCACCGTCGCTCGCTCGCTCTCTCCACGTCTGCCCACGACCCTGGGACAAGGCGCAATCGATGGCTCGATAGCCAATAGAGCCGGCGAGGAGCCCCCGCTCGGTGTCCTCAATAGACTCGGGTCAGTGTCACTCCGTTCGGGGGCGTGCCCACGTGCAGTGTGCACCACCCAGGTCAATTGGCCACTGACCGATAGACACTTCGGGCGCGGGGCAGCCGTGACTATTACCGACCCACGGCGACTGCAGAAGGTGTAGATAAGAGTCATCTGCTCTGCCTGGACGCCCCACCTACACAGGGCAATGTGGGGCTTTGGTCGATCTCCTTTGCCCCTGATGCAGTGCTTCCCGTACGTAATCTTATTTTAGAAGATGATTAAAGGTGCCTTAATTAATTTTTCATTTAAGATGGAGCTAGTCACAGAAATAGAAGATGAAAAGGGACGTGTTTCGAAATTTATATTGTAAGCCCTACCGAGGTTAAAGTAAAAATAATATATTATTAGAACGTTTTAAAGTAAAAGGAGTCAGACCATACATGTTAAACTTGTCTTTGACATGGCTTAGTGTTTACGCTCAGGCAGTTCTAGAGACAGTGCGGGAATCTACCAAAACATATGCCTCAAGAACACGTTCATTGTTGTAGGAATATGGCGACGCTTTTTTGCGGAGTTACATTCCCTCCCCCTCTCCCCCATCGAAAAAGGTGACGCCCATAAAATTAAACATTAGTATGCAATAGTTAAATTCCAGCATGTTTGGCCGTTCAGGAACGCAAAATCTCGTCTCGTTTCCATTTTTGTCATTCGATTGAATGAATACATTATTGGTGCAGCAACGCGGTAAAAGTCATGACATTAAAGCATGCAATGAACGGAACTTTTTAACTTATTCGAGGCTTGGTGTGTGTGTGTGTCGCACGTTGGATGTTAATTGCCCGAGATTGATTCGTTTGCAAATGTAGGGTCTTGGGGTCTTAGTTCTAACATATTCATGATGACTGTCACACGACTCACACGATGAAAGATCTTGGGCATGACTCACTGCAAAGGTCAGTCTCTCACCTCACTCCATCCACCAAAGATCAGACCGCAAGCAAGTCAAGATCTGAGCCCAGCCCACCAAAGAACTCAGCACATCCCACCAAAGATCTGAGCCCAGCCCACCAAAGATCAGAGCCCAGCCCACCACCGATCCGATCCCGTCTCACCCGACTCGGCCTTGGGCATGAACTCCTGCATTTCGTCCAGCAGCAGCTCGATCTCGCGGCAGTCCTTCTCGATGCTGATGAGCTCCTCGCGCTGAAAGTTGGGTGTGATCGGCACGTGAAGGATGATCTGCGAGATGACGTTACCCAGGCCGGAGCTGGACGGGCCGGGCCGGCTCTCTGTCGGACCAATCCGGGGAGGGAATAGTTAGATAACCTCAGAACACTGCGCAGCAGCTGCTGAGAGGTGAATTACAGCCGACAGATAGCTGTTGATCTATTGTGAACATGAAGCGCACTGTGCTAGTTTTCAAGTATTTTAACAATGAGTTGAGCTCTGTTAGTTGGTCAGCAATGGCTTCTAATATCGGCTTGGACTGCTCTACTAAAAACATACAATGAAAGCAGAAGGTGTCTTTCGCTGTTTCAATGAAAACAGGTGTCTTTCGCTGTTTTAATTGAAGCAAAATAGCAGCATGATCGGCAATGTCGTGTGAATGAGACTTGCTACGTGTTAAGTTCCATCATGTATAGGCCTACGTAATATGCATTATGTATATTGTACATGTGTAAGTAGGTACATGATACGAAGGCCCATGTCTAACTAGACGTCGGAAGCCGAGGTCAGAATCCTTACATCTTTGCATTAAAGTCATTTTACTAGATGCTAGATATTTTTGATATGCTTTAGAACTAATGGATAAAAACCAAGTAGTGTGTTTTTGGTTAAACTTGATGCACTATGGAATAATGACGCTATAAAGAGAGCTAAAGCGATCATCAGTCTAAAATGCCAACGCATTTGGAAAACGTACACCAATTCAGCCGGCAGTTAAGCTGGCGGACAAGTACGACTTAGCCGGCCTCTGGAGTCCGATAGAGGTCATTTATTTTCCGAATCAATCCCCAGCTATCTATTCATTCTCCTAAGGTCGCGTCCACCCAATCGCTTCAACTTTGGCGCAATATCCACTGGCGCCATTACCGCCAAATGAATGATAGAAAGGTCACCTAGGTGATTCGGCCAAATACGGTTTCCGCAAAATGCAATTCTATTTTCACAGAAGTGAAACCCATTCTTAGGATGAAACACTGTGGGATGAATAATAGACAGCTGGTAAAATGACCCGTGATCAATGGCGAATTAATGTTTGCGTTCTAACGGTTGCACCCCCACCAGACGACCGGCGCGATGGTGAGGTCTACACCTTCAATTTGCCCACACCCCGTTCGAGATAACCGTACGAGTGGCGGATCGTGGGCTGTCTGTCCCAGAAGGACTCTCCCGTCCCACCGGGATAACCACTGCCGCTGCAGCACACCGATATAGGCGGTTCGCTCAATCCAATGTCTCCATCCTGTCCCCTCATCCTCATAGCTCGGCAATGGCCTCATTGAGTCAAAACAGATTGGGCCTGGAAACACAATCAAAAGCTTTGAGTTGTATTATTTTGATATTTTGGCCTCTGGATGTTTTGAGTACATATTACATAACGAGAGCCAGCTAAGACCAAATAAGCCAGATAAACGTCTCTTCACAAATAGCGTAATAAATTCCCGTCTATCACTGAAAATGACAGTTGCTTTCACCAAAGTCTGAGATGAGATGGAACCATAAGCTGAGTAACAAAATCAATATGTGGTGCCAGCAACAGACAAACTGCATCTTTATATTATAAACGAAATGCCGCTATACACATTTTTATTGAAGTGGCGGCTCGTTTTATCTATCTCACTATGACTTATATTGGATAGTCATGGCTGGCGGACTGCGCTCTCATGGGGTCAAATAACGGGACACTCTACGAATTTAGGGCACCCTTGGGTTTCATAACACAAGACGGCCGGGCTCTACAAGCATTGGCAAATGGGAGACTGGTTGCGATGGCCTATTCCACACTTCTACTCCACCAAAGTTGTCCATTTACGAGAGCATTTGACGCTGAAAGTAGGTGCACTGTACTGAAGACGACTAACGAAGGATATGAAAAGGGCCAGGCTTTGTCGCGTATGAAAGTTTCAGCCTGGTGTATGCTTGCATGTCACACAAGTGACAATTGCGCAACTGGTTTAGTCATAACTAAAACTGCTCAGTTGATGCAATTACGATTCAGTAATGTTAGAGGTTTTGATAGAAGACTGTAGATAGTAAATCTAATAGCTGTGCATCGTAGACAAACATCTCATTTCAAAACACCTAGGTAATTAGTAATTAGTTACTACGGCTTTCTCGCCAATCGCATCACTAATGTTTTAATGCCCGTAGAGGCTTGACCGCTTACACCAATAAGCCGAGCAAACAATTTCGGTGCTATGCGCATGGCCTGTATAGGCCATCAATTTCATGTCGGCCAGAAAGCGTCATTTGCCGTAAACACTGCAGCCTGGCCAAAGGTCGCGTTTTATGTGGCTCGTGTCGGACGCCCCAGCGGTCTCCTTTGAGCTGTCTGCTGCGGTGACCTCAGTGCCCAGTGGGAGACCTTTGGCAGAGCAGCGGTCAGCGAGCGTGTGACTTCGTCAGTGTCTGTGTGGGGGACGTACCGTAGTAGGCCGACATGTCCATCGGCATGGTGTCTATGAGCCGGGTGGTCTTCTGCAGCTCGCGGAGCAGCAGCTGCGTGCAGCTGAACAGCAGCACCAGGCACTGGCTGTCCACCAGGATACCGCTCTCCATCTCTCTGCCGAAAGGGGGCAGAGCTGATGGTACTAGAACGCCGGTGGGAGAGGGGCGTCGGCGAGTATCGACCTATAAAAGTACTTGGTATAGGTCAATATCCCCGAGTGACTCAGATATTTCAGAGACGCATAAAATGATACTAACTATTGAGGTCAAGCATTTGCCATTTAAATTCGTTGAGAAAAAAGTTGTATTAGAATCTTGTGGCCGCAGTCTTGCCACTGCGGCGCCGCCGCCAGGATGCCGTCCAGGCTCGGGATGAGTTATATGGCATTGTGCGGGGCGGGGCCGGGAGGAAACGGCCGGCGGCACGCGCAGCGCAATTGTAAATTTAAGATATGTCATTTAAGGCACGTAGGCCGCCAAGCTGGCGCCTTCCGTCACCTCGTCGCTGCTGTGCAGGTTCGCACTCGTTTTGGGCGTGTTCTAGACGTTTCGTAACCTGTTGAATAAAAGGTGGGTCACGTACGACCCCCGGCCAGTCTGGGCCGGCGCGCGACGGAGGCAGCTGGCAATACAACGGCAATGTGGACATAAGGAGTTTTCTACAAGCTATTTCGGCCTTGGAAGACTGCCGTGATGGGGAACGAGAAGGAGACCTGTGATGGTTCGGACGCTGCGGCTGATCTCCGCTTAATCCCGGAGTTTGACGGTGTGTCGCAGCCCGTGTGCGAGTGGCTGGACAAGGTCGAACTTGTGTGTCAGCTGCGCGGCATCAAGGGACTGCACGTCGTCGTCCCGCTGAGACTCACTGGTGGTGCGTTTGCGGTATATCAACAGCTCGGAGAAGATGAGAAGAAAAAGTACGAGGACATCAAAAGGGCTCTGACATCGGCGTTTGCTTCGGATCGGTTTGAAGCCTACGACCAATTTGAACGTAGAAGGCTGCGTCCAGGTGAGACGGTGGACGTGTTCGTCTCTGAGCTGCGCCGGCTGGCTGGCTTGTTCGGAGGTATGCCGGACGACAGCCTGGCCTGTGCCTTCGTGGCCAAACTGCCAGATTCAGCACGCCGTGCGCTCCGGGCTGGATCACGGATGGAGGACATGCCGTTTAGCCAGCTAATCGGTCGCGCTCGGGCCGTGCTAGCCGACGAGGAAACAAACACCGCGGCCGCCGCCGCTGGCACAAGGACTGGAGCACTCCCGGCCACAATGAAATGCTACTCGTGCGGGCAACCGAACCATATCGCCCGCGACTGCACGGCAGGCCGCGGACAGCGGGGCCGTGGAGGCCCCCGTGGTGGACGGAGCCTCGTGAGGTGTTACAACTGCAACCGGCAGGGGCACATCGCCTCTGCGTGTCCGGAAAACGACGCGGGAGGGGAGAGATCAGCGCCAGCCTCCTCTCCTGTCGACCAGTGAACGGGGCGCTGCCAGTCGCGCAGCTGTCGGTGGACGGAGCGAGCTGCAAAGCGCTGGTTGATACAGGATGCAGCCAGTGTGTAGCTCACGTGTCAGTTTGTCGGAGGTGGAACCGACGCCCGGTGAGCGTGATGACAGTGAGTGGAGGGCGTTATTGGTGTGAGGGGTCAGGCGTGGCACGCGTGCAGCTGCGGTCCGGTGAATCAGTGTCCGTAGATGTGCTCGTCGTAGCACGTAAGCCACTGGGGTTTGAGTTCATCCTCGGGATGAATGGTATCAGAGCACTGGGTGGCGCTACAGTGAGTTCGGATGACCGAGTCAGATTCGGAGTTGAGGCAGCGGTGTCTCATGTAGCGGCGTCAGTGGCCTCACCCGGTGACCGGGTCAGCTGTGATGGTGAGAGGACTGGGGTGTCGCGTGCAGTGGCAGCGACTGCACGGGTGAAAAATCAGGCGAGCAGTGAGGCGGCCCCAGCGTCAGGTGCAGCGGCGGCAGCTGCAGCAGTGAATCGAGCTGACAGCAGTAAGGGGGATCCGGTGTTGGGTGCGGCGGCGGCGGCCGCACCGGCTAATCGAGCCGACGAGAAGGACTTTGTGGTGAGCTTTGATGAGACAGAAAAGAAGTGGTCGGTGGAGTGGAAATGGTGTGGAGGAAAGGAGCCCGAGCAGCTGCACAATACAGCAGAGGAGTACGCGATTCCAACAGAAGCCCGACACGAATACGAGCGAGAACTCTCCAAGTGGGTGGCGAATAAATGGCTCGTCCCTTATGATGAGAGCGTGCACGGGAGGATCAAAGGCACGATCCCGCTCATGGCGGTCATCCAACCGAAGAAGGACAAAGTGCGTCCCGTCATGGATTTCAGGGAGTTAAATACGCACCTGGACCCGCATACAGCTGACGCGGATGTTTGCAGTGAAAAAATCCGTGAGTGGCGTCGGTGTGGACAAAACGTGTCTCTCCTAGATCTGCGAGACGCTTACCTGCAGATCCACGTGCACGCATCGCTGTGGCCGTATCAGACTGTAGTGTTCCAGGGCAGACGGTGGTGTCTGAGCAGACTTGGCTTTGGGCTCAGTCTCGCACCGATGGTGATGAGAAAGGTGCTGGAAATGGCCCTGAAACGTGACCCGAGGGTGCACACCGCTACATCACCTTACGTGGACGACATACTCGTAAATGAAAACATCGCTACTGCATTAGAGGTGAAGGGTCATCTGGAGGCGCTCGGTCTGACCTGCAAATCCCCGGAGAAGGTGTCAGAAGGTGCTCGTGTCCTGGGCATTCGAGTCTGGGGGGAGCGGCAAGGACTGTTCTGGAAGCGGGACAACCAGGATCTACAGCCGCCGCCAAAGCTGACGAGGAGAGAGGTCTTCTCGCTGTGCGGACGTCTGACAAGTCAGGTCCCGGTGTGTGGCTGGCTGCGTGTCTCCGCATCCTACCTGAAAAGACGCGCCACTGCAGCGACAGACGGCTGGGATGACGAGATCACCGACCCAGAACTCCAGAAAATGGTCATGGAAACGCTGCAGCGCGTGAAAACGGCCGATCCCGCACGAGGTCGCTGGGATGTCACCGGCGATGAGGGAGTCGTGTGGGTGGATGCCAGCTCCCTCGCCATAGGAGCCGTGCTGGAGATGGAAGGCAGCATCGTTGAGGACGCCTGCTGGCTTCGGAAAAATCCCGAGACACACGTGAACCTTGCAGAACTGGACTCTGTTGTGCGTGGCATCAATCTGTCCCTGGCATGGAACCTGAAGAAAGTGACTGTCGTGACGGACTCGAAAACGGTCTATCACTGGCTAACAGATGCGCTCTCCGGCAGAGCTCGGATAAAGACGAAGGCGGCGAGTGAAATGCTGATTAGAAGGCGCCTGGAGACCGTGAAGAGTCTGAGAGATGAGGACGGCCTCCAGCTGACCGTGAAGTGCGTTCCGTCAGTGGACAACAGGGCTGACGCACTGACGAGAGTGCCGAAGAAGTGGCTGAGCCAACAAAGCGATCCTGAGGTCTGCGGCGCTGCCTTCTCGGCGCCGGATGTGGTCAGGATCCATGAAATAAGTGGACACCCAGGCATCGGGAGAACGCTGCGCCTGTGTAGGGAGCACGACCCGGCTGTGAGCAGGCACCAGGTGCGCAGTGTCGTTAGCCAGTGCGAAAGGTGCCAGTCCATCGATCCAGCGCCCCAGCGGTGGACACATGGTTCGCTGAGCGTGACTAAATGCTGGGACAGGGTCAGCATGGACGTCTGTCACGTAAACGATCAGCTGTACCTGACTCTGATTGACTGCGGTCCGTCTCGGTACGCGATCTGGCGGCGGATAAAGCGACAGGACACCGACAGCATCATCACGGCTCTGGAGTCGGTATTCCTGGAGCGCGGCGCTCCGAGGGAGCTGCTGACGGACAACTTCACCTCATTCCGCAGTGCCGCATTCCACGAGTTCGTCAGCCGGTGGGGTGTCAGCGTCCGGTACCGAGCTGCCCATGCGCCGTTCGGCAATGGTGTCTCTGAGAGAAACCATAGGTCGGTCAAAACAATCGTAGCGCGCAAAGGCTGCTCAGTGGCGGAAGCAGTCTACCGCTATAATGTGATGCCGCGCAGTGATGACCTGAACTCTAGTCCTGCCAACGCACTGTTCAACTACAAACTGAGAGTGCCGGACGTGGAGAGTGAGGAAAAGTGCGAAGAGAGTGAGTGTGCTATGTTCAGTGTAGGCGATAAGGTATGGATCAGAGACCCTAGTCGCCGGTGTGATGTGCCAAGTTCCATAGGAACAGTCACCCGACAAGTGTCGGCGCAGTGTGTGGAAGTAGACAATGTCCCCCGTCACGTGAGAGATCTGAGACTGGCTTTCGTTCCCAGTCCGGAGAGTGACCAGACTGAGCCGCCGAACAATGACAATGACGACTCTGGCCCAATTATCTTGCGAGAGTGTGCGCACGAAAGCCACGGGGAAAATGTGCCCCCTGTGACGTACGCTGAAGTTCTACGCCGCGGCATGCGGGAGAGACGCCCTGCCGTTCTGACCCAGTACGATGATTTGTAGATCAGGGGGGAGTGTATTAGAATCTTGTGGCCGCAGTCTTGCCACTGCGGCGCCGCCGCCAGGATGCCGTCCAGGCTCGGGATGAGTTATATGGCATTGTGCGGGGCGGGGCCGGGAGGAAACGGCCGGCGGCACGCGCAGCGCAATTGTAAATTTAAGATATGTCATTTAAGGCACGTAGGCCGCCAAGCTGGCGCCTTCCGTCACCTCGTCGCTGCTGTGCAGGTTCGCACTCGTTTTGGGCGTGTTCTAGACGTTTCGTAACCTGTTGAATAAAAGGTGGGTCACGTACGACCCCCGGCCAGTCTGGGCCGGCGCGCGACGGAGGCAGCTGGCAATACAACGGCAATGTGGACATAAGGAGTTTTCTACAAAAGTATTATATGGGCTATATAAGACTGACGGATATAGCTAAGAAGATAAACATGTCTTGGCATTCAAAGGCTTCAGAAGGGTGTCACATCTAGGCTCTTTAACCAAATATAAGTCTATATCAAATGCATCGACAACGTGACTCTACTTCCACCTTATGATGAACCATGCAATGGCATGTAACACCAGTCAAACACCATTTACCACACACTTTGACAAAACGCGAAGAAATTGTAAGCAAACAATTGATCACTGACGAATCCAGAATGCTATGAGGGATGTGTTCAATGCCCACATCGTTCAAAATGCATCTAAGATTCCCTATTATTTCTCGCATAGGAAGAAAACTGGCGAAATATCTGGTGAAGGAGGTGCCATGAATCGAACAGCAATTGCGTAGGATAAGTAGGACGAGATGTTTTGGATTTCGAGTCTTGTAGAGGTTTTTCTATCACCTGCTGCATCCAACACCAATTTTCAAGATCCACCTATGTGCCAGTTATTCCTAAACTGTCTGTACCAGGCCGAGAAAACAGCCTAACTTAACTTTACGTGTAGAAACCACATATGACATATCATGTTACCTTCATCATTAAATGCATTGCGGAGATTAGGTTTCCCGTCCATGAATACCTACGTTCGTTATTGGCTAATGCGCACCATAAGGTGAGAGGAATTATAGACTCTCGCTGAAACCATTCACTAAGTAGCTTCGCTATGCTATCTGTGGACTCCTTTGCCTGTAGACAGGCCATTCAGTCGGCTTAACTAGGGCTATGAAACCCACGCGCATTCGCTACTCGAGTGCGGCTCGGTTCCTGTGACGTCATACTAGCCAGGCGCTTACGTCATTGGCCTCCCACTGTTTCGTGAGGCTGTTTGACTCACTGTACTTACATACATACGTACTGTGTCTCGTGTTCAGAGTGAGTCTTACTCGTGTAAAGGACGCATGATGAGTATTGGGCTTGGAGTGTACATACATGCAATAGTCATGCCCGGATGAACGCAGCTCTGTCCCGTGCAGCGCCACAACAATGAAACATCGTAAACCGAACGGATTAACCTGAGCGAGAGCTGGGTCTGAGGCCTGGCTCAGTGCGGCTGAGTGGGAGTGAGCGTGAGCGACAGGCTAGGAACTGTGTGAGGCTTCTCTGGACTGGGACCGACCGAGTGGGGCCCAGTGGCGCTCAGCGGCACTGATCCTGGCTGTGAGAGACTGATCTCGGGATCAATCGAGACTGGCGGTGGCATGGAATCGGTAGAAGAGCTTTTTGCGCCTGCCGCTGGCAGATGGCTATAAGTGGCATCAGGAGTATGCGCAGCAAAATATACCTACCAAGATTATAAAACTGATGGCATTTAGACACCATTTTGTTTTACACTTCTTATGTTGGCTTCTTCTTAATTTCTATTCCGGGAGATAAACAGCGTACGCTATCTGCGAAATGTCGTACATTTTGTCTTTTGGGAACAAACCATTAATAGCTGAGCGCTCCATTATTTATTGCTGATAGAATTTGCCGCTGTAAACGGAGGCTTCCTGATGTAAACACGATCGGTGAGTGAGGGGACACAAACAGAGCGGCTCGGCGCCGGAGGACAGCGCCGCCGACCATAAACAGAGCCGGCGGCCCGCGGCGGCGCGGCCACTTCACTCACTTGCGGATGTGCGGCAGCAGGCGGGCGGCCGTCTGCCGGCAGCTGGTCATGCAGTCCAGCCGCGTGCGTCGGATGCGCTCCCGCAGCTCGGGGGAGTCGCGACTGCTTCCCATCGCCAGCAGGTGCTCCCGCAACAGCGCCACGTGACAGTTGAGCTCGCAGATCATCTGCCGACGACAAACACCACGTGACAGTTGAGCTCGCAAATCATCAGCCGAAGGCAGAAATCACGTGGCAGCTCAGCTCGCAGATCATCAGCCGGCAGCCAACATCACGTGACTGTCGAGGATTTAGAAAAGCTATCTGGAGCGGAGGTTACGTGACTTTTAGAACTCGTAATTACATATCTGACATACATGAGGGTCATGATCTAGCATGAAGAAATGGATGTAAACTGTTATTATCTAGAGCTTCTAATCTATATAAAGTGTAGTGCTTCTAAAACAGTTGAACTGGTTAAATCTTAATACGATTGTTATTTATTTATCCCCACCCTCATTCTCTTTCTACCCTGTCAGTAATCAGCATGGTCACAACTTGTCAACGCCCGAAGACGTTAGTAACTCCGAACTTAGTGCATTTCCATTCCAACTCTGCCCGCGATAACATCGTCAATCGCTCGTAAAACATAACCTCATTCACACTCTATTGCTGCAGTTTGGCCTCATTTGCCTCTGAGGGAACATCAAAAGCACTAATGCACGTAATTGCGCACGGTTATGTTGTAGTCTAATGAAAACAAAACTGGTGATTGAAAGACCACATATGAATGGTCATGCTGTATGTATGCAGCACATAGGTCAACTGTCCGAACACTGGTGCCAAGGCCGGCCACAGCCCGAGGCGCAGCTCCTGAATGCTTCACGGAAGTTTCACGGTATCGACCATGACCGAACGCTGCGGTCGGCACTCCCCAGCACTTAGACCTATTGTCGTGCAATAGCCTTGCAACAGATTCGCGACAGTAGCACAGCAGTCTACATACGATAGGCTAATAGCTCAAAATATGCGCAAAAGAAGTACGAAGCATTCAGACAATAGTGACAACTGTCCTAAGGTGAAAAGGTTCAACTTGTCTTTGGGCTCGTTGCTTCTGCGGTAAACGACATGCATATTGCACCTAACTGGAGATGAAGGTTCCACTAGGTAAAGTACGGAGAGACGGAGACAGAAGCTACCCTTACAAAATGAATGTACAATTTACATTCATACAAGCGAGCGAGTGTTGCTAAGCAATCATGTCTTGTTCATAAGAATGGATTATCTTCCGTTGGGTGTCATATAATTATATGCCCTCGCCGGCACAGGGGGGGGGGGGGTTGATGCAACCCCCTCTCCCTAAGGTTTTTCGCGAATAAAGGCCTGGCTACACTATGCGTTTTCTGCGTGTGTTTTTTGCAGGTTTGCGGGTTTTGCGTAATATCGTTCTAGAATAAAAAACGTTATTACGTTTTTGTGATGTTTTTTATTTTAAATTTTAGTTAATATAAGAGTTATATTACCTTTAACACAAAACTAATGCACAACTAATGTAAAGGTTGTATTATTTATAACTTTTTCTAGAACGATATCACGCAAAAAACGCAAACCCGCAAAAAAACGCACGCAGAAGACGCATAGTGTAGCCAGGCCTTAACTCGCGTAAAAAGCGGCCAATTGCGACGAAACTTTAACCCTCGCCGGCACAGGGGGGGGGGGTTGATGCACGCCCCCCCTAAGGTTTTTCGCGAATAACTCGCGTAAAAAGCGGCCGATCGCGACGAAACTTTCAGTACCCTCGCATTGATCAATTTCACACCTACCCTGAAAATTTCATGACCCTGACCCGAAGGATCTTTGACGTGTGACCTCTTTTCCGAGACCATGTTTGGCCAGAATCGCGATTCGGCGTATGTCTGCTCGCATTAGCCGCGCGTTTGCAAGCTTTTCGTGGTTTCAAACGTTCAAACATGTGATTTGATGTTGCGCCCATACATTAGGGTGGGTGTCAAGGTCACCTGAAGGTCAGGTCAGGTCATTGACCTTTGGTGACCTCGGGTGACCTTGGTTCACTTTTTCGAGTTTTACCTGTTTCTAGGCTAGTTTTTTTAGCTGAATTCGAATTTAGCAACCATTTGAACATTTACGAAGTAGTTTTGGTGCCTTCGTAACATGTTACGAAGCTGTCAGAGGTGGTTGACACGTATTACGAATACCCGTCACAACCCCTACCGGTTGACCTGACCTGACCTGACCCGACCTGGTCTAAATGCTTAAAGACATCATCTCTGATCAAAACTAACACGATATTCGTGAATAGCACCCCGGAAAACCTCACAGCAGCCACACTTTACGACTTTATAACAGGTCACGATTTTCCCGGTTTTCGGGTCATTGACCTGACCTGGAAGGTCACCCGATGACCTAGGACCTTAAAATTGGGTATCGTCGGCTTCGTCTCGTGACGGGCAGCGCGCTCGTTTTTTTGCGAAGCTCTAGCTCGATCAGGGGCCAAACGCGAGGGGGGTCGTACCAACCCCCCCCCCCCCCTTGTACCGTCGAAGGACGCCAAATGGCCTGTGCCGGCGAGGGTTAAGTACCCTCTCATTGATGAATTATACACCTACCCTTATAATTTCATGACCCGGACCCAAATGACCTTTGCCCTGTGACCTACTTTCCTAGACCATGTTTAACCGGAATCGCGATTCGGCGTATGTCGGCTCGCATTAGCCGCGCGTTTGCAACCTTTTCGTGGTTTCAAACGTTCAAACATGTGATTTGATGTTGCTCCCATGCATTTAGGGTGGATGTCAAGGTCACCTGAAGGTCAGGTCTGGTAATTGGTGAATAACCTTTGATGACCTCGCTTCACTTTTTCGAATTTTACATGTTTCTAGACTAGTTTTTGGAGCTGAATTCGAATTTAGCAACCAATCCATTTGAACATTTACGTCTTACGAGGTAGTTTTGGTGCCTTCGTAACATATAACGAAGCTGTCAGAGGTGGTTGACACGTGCTACGAATACCCATCACGACCCCTAAATTGGGTATTATCTGCTTCCTCTCGTGACAGGCATCACGCTCGTTTTTTTCCGCGAAGCTCTAGATCGATCAGGAGCCAAACGCGAGGGGGCTCGTACCAAATCCCCACCCCCACCCCCACCCCCTCCTTGTGCCGTCCAAGGACGCAAAATGGCCTGTGCCGGCGAGGGTTAGGGACAATTGTCAGTTTTTCCTGTAATTGTCTCTTATTCCACACTCCATGCAACATATCGTAGTTCTTCTCTAACTAGTTGCAAAAAAGTGTTTTGCATTCCTCAGATTTTTTCCGCCTAGCCGAGGTTTGGCCCGCAGCTGCCAAAGCTGATTTAGGCTGAAAAGCATTGATCTCAAAGAATGTTCAATTATGCAATTTCATTGCCGCACTACATCTACGCGCGCCTGCTCTGCTCTCTGGAAAGGGCGCGGTGACTGCTCCGGTGAGGCCTCAAAGTCAAAGGTGATCGGTAGAAACGCGCGGAATTCGGATTGCTCGCGTCGGCGGAGATGGCGATGTATCTTGACCGTGCGGAGAGCGGGCGGTGTATCTTGACCTTGGAGAGAGAGAGAGAGAGAGAGAGAGAGAGAGAGAGAGAGAGAGAGAGAGAGAGAGGTATCTTGACCGTGCGGAGAGAGGGCGGTGTATCTTGACCGTGGAGAGAGAGAGAGAGAGAGAGAGAGAGAGAGAGAGAGAGAGAGAGAGAGAGAGAGAGAGAGAGAGAGAGAGAGGTATCTTGACCGTGCGGAGAGAGGGCGATGTATCTTGACCGTGCGGAGAGAGAGAGAGAGAGAGAGAGAGAGAGAGAGAGAGAGAGAGAGAGAGAGAGAGAGGGGGGGTATCTTGACCGTGAGAAAAAGGGGCGATATATCGTGGCTATGAGAATAGAGGGCGATGCAGCTTGAGATGGATATGTAGACTGTATCATGCAGCCTTGAAGGCAGAGAGAACACCATGTTGTGACCCCGGGAACAGAGGGCCCGATCAGCCAGCGGAGTACCAGACCAGCGCTCCTACATCCCCGGCTAAGGCCAACGGTCAGAGTCTCCGCCGCACGCCGGGAGCATGTGTTCCGCATTGCCGCTTAGAAAAGAAATGAACTTCCTCATGACACCAGTGTGGCGTGTAAACCTTCCTATCAGGGACAGGCGGACGCTGTCGGGGTAGTAAATGAGGCGGAAATGGTCTCAGGCCTGTTCTGATGTAACTATGAAGCGGAAGAGGACACTATACCCGCAGAAATTAATGGAATTCATGCTCGGATGGAAAGGGTAGGGTGGAAAATGACAAACAACGGTTAGACATTCTTAAGTATAATCATATCAACTAAAAAATAACTTGCTTAAAACCCTCGATATGTTTATAATGACGAATTTGTGAGCATTGGTGCATCGTCTCAGCGCCTCTAAAAAATCTAACCCACGTTTGTTGTCATTGCTGAAAGTACATAAGCAACGGGGCTCTCTGAGAAGGGGTCAGCTGTCACTTAAGGAAAAGTTCATTTGGACGTTGACCGACGGTGAAAGCTGGTCATAAATGATTATTAGCGTTTTAGGGATTGTCAGGGATTGGAAAATGCAAAGAAAATGCATTTTACACATACAGTCAATAGATGTCCTAAGGAAATGTGTGAAAACACCCTCTCTCCCCTTTAAAGTCCTTTACAAATGCCCCTCATTTCTTACACCTTCTGTTTTGTGCCCCACTCACCTCCTGTATTCGAGCCGGGCTGTAGCTGGTGTCTTGCGCGTCATTCTCCTTATGCCCCGAGGACATAGTCATTATGGCGCGCGGGCCGCGGGCCCTGCCCTTCCTGCTGCCGCCGGCCGAGCGCCTCCGCAGTGACGCGCGAGAGTGCACCGCCGGCACTGGCCTGCGCTCCTCCACCGGTGCCGGTCCTGAGGGCGTTCCCGCGGCGGGCCGGCCCTCCTGTCGGCCTGGGACCGACCCTGAGGGAGTGCCCGCGGCGGGCCGGCCCTCCTGTCGGCCTGGGACCGACCCTGAGGGTGTTCCAGGTGTTGTCCAACTCTCCTGTCGGGCTGGAGCTGACTCTGAGGGTGTCCCGGGTGTACCAGGTCCGTCTGCTTTGCCTGGGACAGTGTCTGAATTTCTGTCCGATGAATCTGATCCTTTCTTTTTGATAGGAATCGTTTCCAAAGATATTCCTGGGGATAAATGCTTGTTTGGAACCAATCTAAAGGGTTTTGTCGGTGCAGCAGAAGCGGTACCGCTCCCCTTCTGCCTGTCGGGGGCTCCCGTTGCTGGAGCGACACGGCCTTCGTGTTTGCCGAGCGGCCCTCCCGAGTGGGTACCGGGCGTGTCTCGCCGCTGCTGCCTGGGGACGGCGCCCAGCCCGCCGGCCGCTGGGGCGACTCCTGGCCGCTGCCCGGCTGCGGAGGGTGCGCCGTCGGCCACCCAGCCGTCCTCCAGCAGGGCCCCCGACTCGGCACGGTGAGGAATCGTGGAGAGACGCCCCCGGCGCCGGCGCCGGCCCGCCGTGCCCCGCCGCGCCCGCCGCCGTCTCCAGCCGGCGTCACATAGTCGAAGGTGCTTGGTGCTGCGGTCGGCACCGGAGACGGCCGTCCGGACGGGCACGAGTTCTCCCAGCACCCGACAGCTGGTAGAAAAGGACACCAGTTCCCGAATCAACTCTTGTTTCCAGCTGACAGGGTTCGAGCCGGCGACGGTCCAGCCGGGTGTCTCACTGCCTCAATCACTAGCTCAGCCACCACGACCTGCCGCCATCCATCGCCACCGCCCGTCACCACCGCCCGTCACCACAGTCCGTCACCACTGTCCGTCACCACCGTTCGTCACCACCGCCCGTCACCACTGTCCGTCACCACCACCCGTCACCCCTGTCCGTCACCACAGTCCGTCGTCACCGCCCGTCGTCACTCCCGTCACCACTGTCCATCACCAGTCAGCCCGTGCAACATCGCGCCGAGGAAAACATTCGCCACGGGGGGTGCCAAGCGATCCCGCGAGCGTCACCCCACCACTGCTATCGCAAGAAGAGCCAACCACCTGTCCTGCGAGTCTGGTTGAAGCTGCAACGATAGTGTCTTAGCCTTGACTGAGGTTATAATGGTGTTGGTCAGCACGCGTCCACGGCGAAGAATGGTAAATGTTGAATTATGATGAAAAATGATTTAGCACCGGTCATTCCTCGAAGCTACCAGTACATGTTGAAATCAATGTGAGATTATTATTTACTATCACCAGTATGACAACATAAATTCACACACCATCACTAGACTCACATTACTGAAACAGGACACTTGTCGCCGGAGTCTCACAAACAGCGCAATGACGGCGATAGTGGCGCGTCCTGCCGAAAGTGGCGCTCGGGAGCGCCGGGTACTCGCTCCGCCGCCGCCGCCGACCGGCCACCGACTAAGGCACCATGGACCGAGCCACCTGGCGAGCGAGGCCGATCTCCGCACGCACACCGACCCGCGCCGACCTGCCCGACGTGCCCTATACCTGACTGACCGACCGACCGACCTACCCGACCGTTCTCTGGCCTCTTCAGGACGAGCCAAAATGCGGTTGATGTCAAAAGATCCGGCTTAAACAAAGGTCAGGTATGCCAAGTTTCAGCTCTCTATCGCCAGCGTGTTCGGAGCTATCGAGAAAAAAACCCTATGGGGGGCGGCACCCGCCCCCCCCCCCCCCTCGGCCGGCGAGGGTTAACGCGCTTAACGCAATAAACGCGCTTCGTGCCTGAGTAGGTAGACTGTACCGCAGCACTGAGGAGTTGGGCGGCACAGTCTAGTTTCCAGAGCACTATGCGCCAGAGCTTTGGACGTGCAGCCAGGGCCGGGTGCGCTGCGGCCTCTCAACATTACGAAAAGTGGCAACGGTTGCGCTCAAGCACTGTCAGCAGCCTTGGGCATGCTAAATGAAAAAAGTAGGTACCTAATTTATGTTTCACCGACCAATCAGTGTGAGCCATGGTCGACGCTCCTGGTTCATGAGTACTTATGTGAATATTTTGGGGTCCTGGGCGTTAATAGACGTTTTCACGACGGGCTATCTGGCGAGTGCACCTAACTTGACCAAATATGCACCTTATCTCTTTTACAGCAAATATCTTTATCTTAACCCTCGCCCGTAAACGGCGATCTGCCACCTTCGCCCATGCAGGGGGGGGGGTTGGTGCGACCCCCCCCCCCTTGGCGTTTGAAAACGGAGCGTCGTAGAGCTTAGTGGAAAAGACCAACGGATTGCTCTTGCCGTGATCTCGCGATTGGTGGTATATTTTTTGGTCCTAGGTCAACATTTGACCTACTTTTGACCGGTCAAAGGTCAAATTTTCGAAAAAATATACTTTTTCAAATTTTCCGCGGCGATTGCGGCAAAACGGTGGGAGATATCGACTTAAAACCTTCACTATCGTGTTTCTTGATCAATTCTCTATCGTTTGGTATGTATTTCGTTTCCCTAGCTCTAAAAATGGCGCGTTGGGAGCGCCGGAAGTCGGCAAGGTCACAGTCGGCGGCAGAAATTCGAAAAATAAAATTTAAATTTTTGAAATCTGATTGTATTTTTGGATTTGGGATGTCCATTTGCTCCCTATAGAAGCTAATATTGCTGCATATTCCCATTGAGGTGACAAGAATTAGCAAAATAGTGGTTCGGGCGCTTTTCAAAAATAGTACCGGACGCTGTTCCTCTTGTGACGTCATAGCTCCGTGACCTGACCTGACCCGGTCAAGTTTCTTATACCATATGATAGCCAATACTTGCTTCAACATGCATGGGAAGTTTCATCACGATCCATCAACCGATGTCCGTACCACCGGCAGGAAACCTCGGGCGTTGGCACTCAGTTTGTGAAAATCCGGCCTGAGGCTGTTCCCTTTGTGACGTCATAACTCCGTGACCTGACATGACCCGGTCAAATTTTTTTTATTAAAAGATGCGCAAGGTTTGCCCCATAAGGTACCCAAAATTTGGCGGCGCTGCGCGCCGCCGTTTTTGCGCTATTTTCGAAAAATCTCAGGGGGGGTTGCACCAACCCCCCTACATGGGCGAGGGTTAAGAATTTATTTTAGTGTTTTAATCGATGATACTCTCTGATAATATGACAAAGCAGGGATATAAGCAATTAGTGCAGTGCAGCCCTAGCTGATAGCTACTATGTAAGAGACACACTGAGCCTGATTTGACCAAATATGCACCTAATCTGCACCAAATGTGCACCAAATGTGCACCAAATGGCCGTCGTGAAAACAGCTAATGTTCGCGCTTAGCAGCCCAGGTGGTTAAACCTTAAACAATATTTTCATATATTCATATATTTATATTTCATATATTCATATTTCATATATTCATATATTCATATATTCATATATTCATATATTCATATATTCATATATTCATATTTCATATATTCATGTATTCATATTTTCATGTTATTATACATAGACCATTCTGACAAAACTAGGATTATTTATGAAAGCTACAGGCCATTCTGCTACTGATCAATTAAAATTCATTGTTTTGATGAATATAGTAATGCGCTGAAGAGTTACAATTTTTTAGATAGGGCCTCGTGCTAGATTTACCCCCAATTACCATGACAGCCTGAGGCTGCTTGCCCACCGGAGTTGCGGATACTTATTACAATGGTGTCCCCACTTTTTTGTTGGTAGCGCTCTATCTGGTTTGAATAGCCTTGCGTGTAGCTTGTGTCTCTATCTAACGTTATGGTAGGAAAAAGTGTTGATAGCCTTTGATGACCTTACATGTTGTCTGATGGATATGGAGGGTGGGATTCTCTAATTCGGTATTCAATGTCACCTCATTAAAATTTATTGAGAGTGTTAAGATAAAGCTTCCCGGAAGTTTTTTTTTTAAGAAATTTTGTCCGAATGGATGAATGGGTGGTTATGGGCCCGGGTGCCCCGCAAAGCAGTGCTTGTTGCGAATGACACCACGGACCCACCACCCCACCTTGCCCGCGCCCGGTTCACCGGTGATAATTTGGATCGAAAGTTTAACGTGCCGCAGGTAGATGGCGGCACGGTCCTCCCGGGTCTAGCGTGGCCCTCTCTCGCCAGTTGCCAGCTGAATGATCTCGGCGGTCTGCACTGAAAACAATTTAACCCTCGCCGACACAGGCCACTTCGAGTCCTTCGACGGCACAAGGGGGGTGGGGGTTGGTTCGACCCCCTCCCCCTCGCGTTTGGCCCCTGATGGAGCTAGAGCTCCGCGGAAAAAAACGAGCGTGTTGCCCGTCACGAGAGGAAGCCGATAATACCCAAGTTTAAGGTCCTATAGTAACTCATATGGCACACATGATGCCATGCATTCTCGATATGTGTAAGTACTTCTAAGAGAAAATTACCTTACTCTATAACTAGTTGACTGAGCCGACGTGCACTGAAAACAATTTAACCCAAGGCCCGCGAGTAAACCGGTGTTTTGCGGGTACCCCTATCCGCAACCATTTTTAACCACCCTCCCAGGAGTACAGTAAGGTCCCATTGCAGTGTAGTCGTCCCTGCTCTCAGCGGACTTGTTCGCTGACAGCGGTTATATCCGCTCAGAGCAAGTACGACTATACCGCAATGGGACCTAGCACTACTCCTGGGAGGGTGGTTAAAAATGGTTGCGGATAGGGGTACCCGTAAAACACCGGTTTACTCGCCAGCCTTGGGTTAAATTGTTTTCAGTGTGTCATCATTGGTCGAGGAAATTGATTACGTTTCGAATCTGCTGTAGGTCCTACGTTATTCATCCACAAATTACGGAGTATGGATGGATTGAAGAGACTGTTGCCAGTTTTTATTGCAATGTTTTCAGATACGCACGTAATCGCACCACGTGGCAAAGTGGCTGTCTGTGAGTAGCACCTATTTCAACCACAAAAATTGACCGAGGCCGTCTGATGTCGAACGAATAACCAGCATAACATTTGGCGCACTGAAGATTCTATGCTACGACAAGTACTGTCCATTGTTCATAGCAACTCTCGTTCGCCACGTCTTCAGAGTTATTTGGTGTGCCAGTGCGGACGGAGCAAAGAGGCTGGGTGATGAATCTTACGTGTATTTGCAAGCTTTCTGTTCTTCGTATAGTAAACATCAATGTAATGCCATCCTGTATGTTTGCCTAATGACATGCTGGCGGGCCCAGAAAGGCGGTCTTTGACGCTTCGGGGCATCACGTAAAAGTTTCTCCAAAAACTCTTCGTGATAACTGCATGTGCACATAATTTTAAGCTGTTCTTGCATGAATAAATGATTTATGCTCTCTCTCTCTCTCTCTCTCTCTCTCTCTCTCCTCTCTCCTCTCTCTCTCTCGCTCTCTCTCTCTCTCTCTCTCTCCTCTCTCTCTCTCTCTCCTCTCTCTCACTCTCT